CTGAGGCGAATAATTGTTTTAGTATAATTTCAGAGCTGAACAACAGAGAAATCTCTAAAATCGTAACATTTTAGTAACATTTATTAACATTTTAGTTGAACATTTTATATAAACCGCGCGGAGCGGCTTATATAGCGTCATATAAGGAACCGCTCGACCAATCAGATTGCTGGAAACTCTTTGTTTAGCTCTGAAACTATACTAAATTGAGCAACTGTCAATGTTTCAATATTATTTTAATCAACGTTACCTCAAGCTCATTAATCTCTTGTAGCAAGGACTCAAGTATCGTTTGCTTTTTCACATTTATCCCATGATTAATCTGAAAGAAAATGCAGGTTCCTTTTTGCAGAAAATGGTTACGAAAAGGAGTCAAGTAGCATTTTAAGGTCAAGGATTCACAGACTTATACAGCAATTTCAAAATCAGTTCAGCGTTTAAAGTTTCAAGAGACCCCTTAGCTGTCTGTAAACATTTGATAATAAAATACATAAAATGTTCCTCAAATAACATCACCAAATCATCTTTGGATATTTGACTTCTTTTTTTTCATCGGAGGTTTTTTCATTTTTTCTGATTAGAACTTGGTCAGTCGTAAAGTTTTGTCAGATTTGTGATGGATTCTGTTGTAGTGTTCGCCGAATTTAAAATGTGTTCATTTGATGTTCCATAAACGTACAATTTATCATAACGAAGGAAACTTGACAATCTGAGATTGCCTTACCTTTTTCTCAGTTTGAAGAACTTTAAATTCCATTTGTGATAGAGCCGTCCCAACATCTGTGATTCTCTGAGTTACTTCTTTCAACTCACTCATCGCAGATGAAATAAGTGTCGAACTATCCTCTAGTTCTTGTTTGGTCGTTTCGAAACTTGATGCCAGCGTCTCGATTCGCTGGCTTGCTTCTCTCAGATGGGACGTGAGAATAGAAACACGGCTCTGTTTAAATGATGATCGTTTATTTCATTTTCAAGTGGTAATTGTGAACTTGCAACTTTATAAGGTACAAGACTGATCTCTAAGTTATAATGTGTAACAGTTAGTATTGGACTCTTGATACTTTGGTGAGACAATTATCCTGAAACTATGCAACCTTGGCACACGCGGGGTTTGCATGTTTGAACTAACTTTTTCATTCAATAAAATGCATTCATAACTTTGTTAAGACACGACGAAAACTGCGTTAACTTTATAAATCACGCACGAGCTGAAAGTTTTTGACCAAACAACCTTGTTTCCTTTCCTGACTTGCCTACCCTAAAGAAAAAAATTTCTCATCTTAACGTTATGCCAAAAAGCCTGTCCCTGACCTTTCAGGCTTCCATGAATACTGTTTTTCTATGTAAATTTTGATGGACACTTCCCTCGTGCTTTTGTTTGGCAATCATCTCAGCGATATTTTGATAGTCTTTTGCAGACCAGTTTTCTAAAGGATAGGAATGAGGAAAAATTGCCGGAGTACGAAATCATTGCAATTCTTCGTACGCGAACGTTTTGTCGCTGTTTTGTCTGTTTTTGTTGTTGTTGTTGTTGTTGTTCTTGCTTAATTGTTGTTGTCGTGTTTGATGTTCTGTTTCTTGCTTTGTTTGCTGTCGTTGATGTTGTTTGACGGTATGTTTGGTGTTATGTTTGTTATTGTTGCGTTTAATGTCGTTATTATTGTTGCTGTTGTTATGTTTGTCGTTGTATTTGAAGTTGCGCTTGTTTTGGTTGTGTTTGTTGTTGTTGCCGTTGTTGCTATTGTTATTGTTGCCGTTGTGGTTGTTATTGTAGACAGGCAGCATTCCTGGATGAATTCTTCTTATTACCTGTAATACATGGATGCGATTGTTGGAGATCTCAAATTTCTCATCTTGATCAGCTTCATTACTTTTAGCCTAAAATTGAAGTCAGTTGATTCATTTTATTATTTTCGAAGTTTGTTAAGTCTTGCATGACCTCACAAAAGACCCTTACCTTCAGCTGTTTTACGATATGTTTCATGGCGTCTGATAGTTGTTGGTTGTTGTTATGGATGTGTTGGATACGTTTGTTCTGTTGTCGAAGAACTTCATTCAGATTGTTAATTGCATTGTTCTGCAAAATAAAATAATGTTGCAGGCATACACCCTTTATGCAATAGACTTAAGTAAATAGTAAATGGTACTGTTAGTCGGTTTAGAGCATTACCGGTATTTTTCACGAAACATTGTTTGGTAAATATATCTTGTTTTCCAGCGCTCTGGGAAAGGAAAAGCTGACTTTTTCAATGCAAGTGTTGTTAACATGAACCACAGAGAAAATTATTGCATGACCACATGGAGTTTGTTTATTTGATATGGTGACGAGTAAAATGAATTCAAGACGTATCAAACGGAGGCCCTTTAACTGAGTTGTTTAGGGGCAGAACTGGAAATTATAATCAATGCCTTGCTCGCGAAGGCTGCGTCCTTCCATTAACTCTCTTTGTGTAACTAAAATTGCACTAAACGAGCTTAAACGTGTAATCCTTCTATCAAAATAACACGGACAATTGTAAACAAAGTGTGTTCTCTTAAACGTAAGCTAACGTAAACAAAAAAATAATACGTTCAGTTCCTCACCTTTTCTGCAAGTTGTTTCTCCATCACTTTCTTCCATTCTTTGAGTTCCTTCTTATCTACAAACAAAAACAAACATATATCATTAAGTCTATCTTTTTTTTTTCGGAGAAAAAATTTTTGGAGGAAAAGTATCTTCTCACAATTGGGCCTTGACTTCACAAGACTATAAACATTCCCCATTCTAGCAGTGAGAACGATTTTAAAGGAAGAAACTTTGTTTTCAAATTTTAAGTCAAGGAGTTCTGCAATGACTGCACTGCCATTATGACGACATACAGATTTTTTTTAAAAAGAGACAACACGTGCGCGCGCCAGAAGTTCAGAGAACGTTTCAGGACCATCAACATGCGCGTACAACGGTCGGCTTTATTCAGCAAAAGTGGTAAAGCACTTTATGATTAGAAGGCAACGGCTGATTTTCATCTAGTATCACATAGGGGCGGGCTGTGGCCTGTGCGCTGTTAGTGCCGCCTGTGGGAGAAAATCTAATTTGATCACAATCACGAGTAATTACCTGTACATAGCTTACCTTGTACATAGCCAACTTGCTTACATAGCCAACTTGCTAGCATAACCAACTTGCTTGCCTGCCAACTAGCTTACGTTGTACATAGCTTACCTCGTACATAGCCAACTCCCACAGGTGGGCGCCTACTCCGGGCCGTTGCGGCCTGTGCGCTGTTAGTGCCGCCTGTGGGATGAAGTATTGTAAATGATTAATTAGTAGCTTTAATCAGTAATTATTTTGAGTCCTTTAGTTAACCGTACCTTAGAATTTGTAAATAGTATCTCTGACAAAATAAAACCGCCTGGTGTTCCAGGCTTTTATATTTAAAATAATAAAAAAAATCACATAAGGGCGTTTTTAATTTAGACACTATTCACATTTTACTCAACAAAAACAACTTCAGTATAAATATAAAGTACTAAAGTAGAATAGATATCGGAAGCATATATATAGATCAACTGAAGGGAGATTTGGCCTGTTACACTCCAACGGCGATACACTGAATTGATCGGCCAATTACCTGCCTACTGATGAGCTGGCTGCCCCAGGCCCCTCTTGACTATCGCTCAGGTCAGTCACATTGTAGTCACGTGCATTAACCGAACGCCGTGACACCACACGTTTCACTTTTACAGCTTTGTTGATTATACACCAGTCATTTGAAGCCCCAATCCTCCCCCTAAGGGTGGCATAGTGGCGTAGAGACTCTCTGTTTAAAACCAGTCTCATCCCAGGAAGAAGGTTTAAAGAAGATGAAACTTTTACAACCTGCTGATAGAGAAACTGAAAAGCTATACAAAACATTTTTCAGAATTATGGAATACTCGAAAATCAGCAGAACGCAGATGCTTCTTCTCATTTGTTTCAACATTAAGCTATTTTGTTATTTTTATTATTATTATTATAATTCTACTTTCGCAACTTGATTAAGTTGACATCCTCAGTGGATAATCACAACCATCTGTCTCAATCGCTGCCTTTCCAAAAGCCGTTAATCTAGAAAAGCTGACGGGAAAAGCTCTATTAAATGCTTTCTGTAGTTTGACCAGCGATTGCAAATAGTCTTGGATGCAGAAAAAAACTCGTTTTACAAACGTAAACTTCAAAAGAACGTAAGATCGGTTCACAGTTCATTAGCCCTTCGTCTTCCAATAACGTGTTTCTGAATATAATCTCTCGAGAACTTATATCTTAACCTCACTCGACTGTTGTTATTGTTTTTATTCCACAAGACACTTAAACTAAGATTTCTGTTATAAAATTAAAACTCGTTATTCTTTTTTGGAGTCTTGATTAGGAAAAGTTTTTATGTAATCCAATTTTGTACATGTATCAAGTTGTTTTACCTGCAATCCTATCGATGACAAATGGTCGGTCAAACTGGCGCCCTATTCCGTTCTCCTTTTAATGTCACCGATCTTTACAAGAGGTCAATGGTTTCTCCAATGCCTCTCTTTGTTTAAGTGACTGAATGTTTTTAACACTTTCGACGCTATGTTGATCAAGTGAATTAATACTTCAATCTTCGCTCTTGTCATAAACTTAATAAAATTTTTGTCTGTCAATACCTTCAATTTCTCTCCGTTGTATGATAATGAACAGTTGTTATTGTCGAAATATAAGAAGCTCTTTACGATGTTGTTTAAGTCACATGTGGAGAAAAATAGCCCTCTCTTTATCAAATCTGTTTGGATGTCGAAAGACGAAGTCACACGATGACATCCTATACCTTTTGGGTCGGCGGGGGATATCCAACACTGAAAGAACCCGCACAAATCTCCAAAAACATAACTAGATTTTAGGAGGGTATCATGTTGTTAAATGTATCTTTCGATTCGTTTTGTTTTCCTTTTCGTTTTGGAAGTAACCTGTCTATATTTCAGTGCTTTAAGCTGTAAAAACTTCTGCGATTTTACTTTCGGGCGGGGGTGCTCTTCGCGACGAAAGGAAAATGATAACACGCCTGATTTGAGAGTAGATAAAACTCCGCTGGACCTAGGTCCTGTATGTCCCGTTTACCCCACGAATAACTTAGTATCTCGGCCTGATCACGTTTAGCCAACAGGGAACACCCACGAAGATGGGCTGGGCGCATGTTGCGTGACTTCACCTACCAGCAGTGATTGATTCAATATAGGGATTCAAAATAATCAAGCGATTGTCGCACGGTATTGGAGGTATATCAGGGCTCAAGCTAGAGCTCTGAGCTGACACGACCACAGTAGACTACGGGCTGATAATAATCAAGAATCTAAGGTTAAGAGAACAGTTTTGAATCAAACTTCTAAAGTTGGTGTTCATTGTCTTGTTTGTTGATTACAGTTCATTACCATGGCTATCATGACGACGTGGAGGAATCCCCCAAACAAAAGGGGCTTTTAAAAAGCAAAAAAAAACAAAACAAACAAAAAAAAAACAACAACAACAACTGAGAGCTGAAGTTGCTTCACTAAAAAAAAAAAATCGCTAATGTAGTAGGGAAAAAAATGGGCATTGAAACTTGAGTTCCAGCCAGCTTTCATCCACAACACCTTATGTTATCATCGATTTGATAGAAGAATCAACTGTTTTCATTGAAAACGGTCGTAATCGCAAGCTTTCAAAGTTTATATTGACGCAATTGAGAAGATTTTCATTGTATGGAGGCTTCTCATTTTATTGAAATCAGGCTTCGCTACTTTTAGTGATAAAAGCCGAGAAGGGAACTTCAAAGGGAACATAGCTTCAGCGACTTCAGTGATCATGCGGAGTGATTCGCGCACGAGACTACTGGGCGGTGTCTTTTGTAATTACTATCTCAGCAGGGATAAAGTTTCAATTTTTTTTTTTCACCTCGTCCAGAGAACGTATTTCATCTGAATAAGCACCTCGAGGAAGCCATTCTTCTAAGAACAGCCAAGATCACGAAATACTGAACCAAACCTTGTTGATGTGAATAAGTTTCACCATTCGTGCTCAGTTGTGGGGAATAATTTATTCCCTTCAACGCGAGAAGACGTGACCTGTTTTAACGAAGAGGTTTGAGCGGTAAACCACTAAGCAAGCAAACAAAACTTCCTCTTATCACTAATTCCTCTGCATCATAATCCAGTAGCTATTGCTGTCCCACAAATTTTCAATGATCACCTAAGTAAGTTAGCGAAGCTGCTAATTTTTGGGAAAACCAATTATAGCTTGGCGTCTCTTTCTCTCAGAAAGAAGGTTTTATTTTTCAGTGCCAATTTATAATTAGCAGCATTAACGAGCCTGACAGCTCTAGAAAAAACGAAGGTTGTATTTTGGTTTTTGAATGTTCGTTACTGGGTTACTCTCTTGAAATTCTTTGGGGCGTTACACAGTATCAAGATTACAGTATCAAGAATTTTTCAGCAAGAATGATAAAGATTAACCTCGTTGTACCTGACAGGCAAATGAATATTATTGTCCGTTATCACTTTTAACATATTGAGCTTTTTTATCTACCTTGCGATAAGCTGTACCTAGCGAATTAGAAAAAATATGAGACTGGGCGAAGGAATCTGAAATTAAATGAACTGACACAATTTGGAAACCGCTTCTAGAATGTTCTAACCGCATTCACACGACAATGACGTGAATGAGACAAGGGGCCGCTACATAACTTTTGACCTTTGAGAATTGGATTCTTTGAAGTTGCGTGTTTGTAAGACATTCACTCTTTCATAGCGGCGGAGGATGGTTATTATAAAGAGCATGTGATATAGGGATCAGATCACGCGATATACAGATAACACAAAGGTCGTAAGAGCGCGAATTCAGGTTACTTTTGAAAGACAACAGACTACTTTTTACTCAATTGCAAAGGTTCGTTGTCTAAATTGGCACGAATTTCCAGAATTCCAGCATATAGAACCCTGAAGTTGAATCGAGCTGTATCGCTGGCTTAAAAATCATGAAGATGTTATATTTTTGTTCAAACAAACCTTAAAAAAATGCGAAACACGCAGATTTTCATAACAGTATTAAATTTTTCTTAAAATAAAAAAAGAATCTCAAAGTTTAGGGGAAAATGAAGGTATTTCCTCGCAATCTGTGGTAATGTATCGTCTGTCTTGTAAACTGTCCGACGATGTAAGTTCCTTAGAAAATCAGCTTCAACTGTCGTTAAAAATAGGAATATGTGAAAACAAAATCGTTTCGGTATAAATTCCTAGAGGATTGAGTACCATTTCTTTAATGCCTCCAGAAAAAAAGCTAGTTCTTTGAAGAATAAAGGCACCGTTGTTCAGGTGGAATTTGAAAAATATGTTGTTTTTAAAAAGTATACCTCATGCAATGAAAATATGTGCTGTTTGATCCGATCGGATGCAAATAGTGAATTCGCGTGTTGTTATGACTTTAAAACCGCAAAATAATGCATGACATAACATGACTGAACAAGCAAATGAGAAGTACTGCGCTAAGACAATCGGAGTTCCTTAACGGCAAGTCTTTTCCAAGTTTTGGTCGGATGTATTAAATAAGCTAGGAAATGCTGAAAGCATCCTCACCCATTGTTTTCTTTGCGAGTGCTACAACGCTATAACTGATCCGTGAATAAATGACCTAAAAAAATTCGCAACTTCATCGGTGTTTCGGATCATTTTGTTCATTGCCAGCCAACCCTATGGCCATCCATGTTGGCATCTTTATGTCCGGTACTCTTACGTACAATTTTACATTTGTACAAGTCTCCGTGAAGGAATCCGTTAAGTAAGTAAATGCGCAACTCAGGTTGTAGATTATCAAAAAATATGTTTACATTGTGTCGGTGCAAGTAGTAGAGTGAAGTAAGCTAATTTACCGAGTGGGATGTTAAGCATTATGTAAACAAAGCTTTGTTGAACATTTTGAGATGACATGCAAACTGCGGACAGAACATCGCAGTCGGATGGGCTAGAGCGTAAAGTGCGAGCTGTAGGCTAGCGGGCCCCTTAATCAGTCCTTCATTTAAACTCGGCTGTGTCTGGCTCAAGTTTCGTCTGAGCACCATCATCATGCTCGAGATTTTGCAACTGATTTTCACAGCATATTCAGTTTCTCGTGTTTCGTGTTCAGTCGAAGATGGTGATGAATTCCTGGGTTTTTCACGGTAAAGAAACTTCCGATGCTATTTACTGCTATAGCGGAAAGACTCGAAAAAAAGCATTTCCGAATGTGTTTGTTCAAGGATTCTAGCAGTGGATGGTTATGTTCATCTTCAGACACTAGAACTTGCTAAAGAATATAATTAGAAGAATAGATTAAAGAATCGAGACTCTTCAAGCCTTTGTTTTTTTTTTTTTTTTATGGCCGGGGTTTATAGTCAAAATAAACTAAAGGAAACTTATGCCGGGGTGCTCAAGATACAGCGAAGTTGATGAAAAACAGCAAGGGCAACTCCCCTTCAAAACCCAATCAAGCCGAAGAGAGATCATTGTTGAGTTTTGTTTGCATTTATATTTGATACATGGATGCAACCGCAACCTCGAAGAAGAGGACCACGACAAAAAATTACGATGAAAAGTGACAAAAGGAAATTTCTTCTTAGTTATTTTAGTGTAAAATTGTTGCATTTCGGAATTCGCGTCAAGGTGTTTGGCGATCTTGAAAACGACACGTCTCTCCAAATCTCCTGGGTTTTTTCGCTGTTTTAAGGCCCAGAAGGAATGCCTAGACTAAGCTAGATGCTTTCCAACATTCTCATGCAGTTGCCTGTTTTAGCGCAAACCCTTCAGCTTTCAGATGATGCGCAGTTTTTGTAAACAGTTTCCAGTTACACAAACATATGAATTTTGCGGAATAACAGCTGTGTGGGTGACAAAGGTTACTGATTTGATGCTTCAGGTATTGACGTTTATGCGTTGGTGGGGATTTTCTTACGCTACTCCGCAGAATTTTATAATTCAACCACTGTGCGACTTAAGCAACAAGGTTTCCTAAACAAGGAAACGATCTCATGTAATTTGCCTCACAGCCAGGGTGGGGTTTTATACAAACGCTCCTTTTGCTCGATTTGACCCAAAGAACTTTGTCAATAGGTCTCCTGTTTGTTGCTCAGTATCCGACGCATAATGCACGTTTGACGAGCTCAAGCGGGTAAAGAAGGCACATTTTGATTGGTTAATTAGCGGGTAAATACTTACAACCCAGTCGGTGATTGGTTCTTGGCTGAAGAGGATCAATCGCTCCCAGCATTCTTTTGGCACAGAGGTCTAGTGACCGCTAAGTTGATTCTAATTAATGACGGGGGTAGTGTTGAAATAGTTTTTCAATAATGCACACTCAGTCATCGCATAAACATTTCAGCTCCTGAGTTGGAGGGAGCAATATCGGGAACACTCATTTGTGCAATGATTCAGAAAGAAAGCGTCATATCATGGTTCAAAGACCTCGAAGGAGATGATCGTATTGACCTCATGTGCAATTTATTAGACTGTTGCCTGCCGTGGGAAATTCGATTTTTAGGCACGTTTATTGAAGCTCAGGTCCAGAGAGATTACCCGGTGTTCCGACAACCTGAAAGTACGGCGAACAATCCGTCTGATCTGAGCTGTTTGTCATGTTTGCACGATGTACATGTCCGTCGCAGGTTGTGTGTTTCACTGGCTTTGCTGCATTCAAGCAATCGTCAAGCAGCTTCGGTGCTGTTTGGAATTATCAATGAATTTCAGCCATCGAGTCTGGGAGAAGAGGAATTCTTCACTGATCTGTCACTTTTGATCACCATGTCCGCTCACCACCCAGCGTTTTCATTTCATCAAAAACACACTTTGTCTTCAAAATTAAAACAGCTCAAACAATCAGCAAATCAGACATCAGATTTAAGCGAGGTAAAATTAACGTTTAATTCTATCTATTTTGATTTTTTTTATTACAGAATTTGTAATCGTTTTTGACATTAATATTCGCCCTCTTAAAGTCACCTTCCGTTTGCTACATGTTGTGAAAAATTTTATTGTTACCTTCTGCCTGCCCAGATAATTAGCATTAGACCTTAGCATTATTTTACAATTTATTCCTGAGGTGATAGGTAGGTTTTGACTTTTTTCTTTTTCTTTTTTTTTTTTTTTATCGATAGACTGTCTCCGAATCAAGTAGTGGTTCTTCGACTTTTTCGTGTGATCAAGATGCCTCAGCAAAAAAGGATGTTCGAGATGACCTTTTGTTCGAAGAACAGCAAAAGAAAGAATCTGTTGAAGAGAAAACCACGACAAAGGAAATTCACAAAGTTGAGAGTGTAAATGTCGGCGATTCTTCCCTGAGTAAGGATAACACTCTTAAAGGTAATTATTTACTTAGCTGAATTGAAGACGATCCGACGTTTTCTAAAAATTTACGTCTGAGATAATCCAGTTCATTTCGATCAAGTCTTTTTTTATTTTTTTATTTTGATTATTCTATCAAAACGACATAGTGACCATTTTGTGATTTCTCACGTCGATTTCATAGTGTAATCACAATCGCGGTAAAAATAAAAACATATGCAAATTAACGGCCAACAGCAGCCTTTTCTTTAAGTTTGACATGTGATCTCTTATTCTTCGCTCTGTTATTTATCCATTGGACGGTTTCCAGACAAGAATCAGTATATTTTAACTGGTCAGCTCCAGGAGTCGTCCGAGAGGCTCCCATTAATCACCGAAGATTATTTCTTGGTAAAAAGGTTCACAAAGATGCTTTGATAAGACATAATTTGATATGTAGAAGGTCGTGTTTTCAAAGAGTGGTAAACACGAGGTAAAAGTATCCTATGTCCAATAACATTTAATTCACGAACGCCGTTTGGTGCCGGCCGTCATAATATTAGCGCTCAGAGGAAGTTTTATCAAATTACCTGTGAATAGATCGTGAATCACTGAAAAATCCTTTATCTTCCGTGACCCTTTTATTTTTATCGTTACATTTTTAATTTTTATTATTTTGGAGCTCTATGTCTCATCTCAAATTTATTCCAAATTCCTGCATGAATTTTAGAAGAACTTTTTAGTTTAGGGACAATTAATCTTTGGTTTCGTCCCATTAAAGCCTCCTTTCATCCCTCTGTGTTTTATCACAAATTATCACTCATTTTTATCACAAAGGAATGTTATGACCTTCATTACTTCTTAATTTTGCTTCCTCCCTTAAGCAAAGTAACATTTATTTTGCTACTAAGCTACAGTTAATGATGCCCTTGTTCAAGGCTATAAACAACAGGAAGTCTGTATGGAAGTCTATTTTGTAAACACATGTTAGACAGCTTTTTGCTGAGTACATATGGTACAGATTATTTTTAACTGAAATTGATACTATCCATATGATGTCATGGTGTTTCCGTCACGTAATGCGCACATGGATTTTACGTAACGTAAAATAATCACATGGCATTACGGGGATAGATGTACAGAACTATGTGAATGAATTTGCCAAGGACATAGACATCTTGTGGGGATATGATCAACACCTGGAGATTGGTATATGACAAGTGCTATTGTTTTCAATAAATTCATGTCACCCTTGGTGTTAAATCACAAGAATTGTCATTTTTCTTTTAAAATGATCACACCTGTCTGGTTGTCTCAGAGCCACAGATAAACCAGTGTTGAGGTATAAAGCTCTTCAAAATATTTGTTACAGCTAAGGAATGTTTTCAAGTATTTGAACAGTGGAGTTTCTTAATTGGTTTCCTGTAAAAGGACAAGGCTGAAACCATTGTTGGTACAGAAATTGAATTGAAAGAAATTAATGATTGATTAAGTTTCTCTCAAAGTTATTCTATACATCATGTAATTAAGTTTATCATTGTCTTTTGATGATCAAGCCCTATTTTGTTACCAGTCACATTAGTATCTGTTGACGATGTTTGGTCAGAAGTCACGGTGTCTTAGTGTATAAAGTGAAAACAATTTTTATGTGAGATTTTCCTGAGATGTGAAAAAGAAAGACAGTGTGTGTGTGTCTTCTTGACAGCTAGACTTACAAATAACACTCCTTTACTTTAATAATGAATTACTGGATCTTTATAGTTAGCAAGTGCTGGAGTGCTTGGAAAAATAAAGAACTTATTAAACAAGTATAGATAAATAGCTTAAAATGCGTGGGGCCAGTTTTAATCAAAATGTCCTGATATTTTCAGATGGGATTTACTAATCATCAGGAAATAATATGATTGATCAGAAATCAGTTTCATAAAAAAAAAATGTCAGCTGGATAAATCCTTTGTTCCCTGTAGTTTCTTGTAGGAGGAAGTAAATTGTCTTAAGTGACTCAAAATGCAATTACAGTTGAATGTTGATTATCTGGACCTTGGTTATCTGGATTTCTTGATTATCCTGACTTTTTCTCTGGTCCTAATTTTTTCATGAATATTTATTAGTCATGATCAAGATCTATAGCCATATTCTTTTTGAAATTACAACATTGAAAAATGAAGTAAAGGCGATGTTTTTCTTTAAGACAAATTACTGACTTAGTTCAACATTTAGGCCAATGTAAAAACATTTTTTATTCATTTTTCAAAGTGGAGATGTAGACCTTATATTTTTCAAAACGATTTGTAAATGTTTTGTTTTAGGATTAAATGTTGCTGTCTTAATAACATTCATATTCTCAATTATCCAGACCCTTGATTATCCGGACTATTTCATTTTGTCCCAAGGAGTCCGGATAATCAAGGTTTGACTTACATTCCATTATTTGTAAACTCTTTGTATGAGAAATAGTTATTGTTTTAAAATCAACGAACGCGAGAATGAAAAACAACCATCTCTAAGTGGATCACAGGTAACAATTCTGACAAAGATTTGCTCAGGTAGAGCAATTTTTTAGTTAGCATTTCCCTGTAATATCTGTTCTTACAAAATATTATTGTCAACACAGTTAGTCTTGGTACTTGTTGGGTTACTGAGGCTTTCAGAAAATAATTTTATAATTCCCAGGGAATCTGAGCAGCAAACATGACTTGAGTGCTCGTAATGGTTAGTTGTTATCTTTCTCAGAACTTCCAGTCTTTGTGAAAGAGATAAAAGTGCAAGGCGTGCAAGCTGTTGAGAAAAAAAAGGAAAAGAGGTCAAAACATGATCCAAGAAAACACGATGATCATTATTACGTCTTACAGGTAATGAGTGAGAAATGTTGTTATCATAAGATTCTATTAAATAGAAAGTTAAACAACCCAGGATTATTTAGACATATTAAGTGGAGCATAGATTTCAGCTGAGATTTCCAGCTGCGTCAATACCCCTTGTATTTAGAAGAAACTTATCTGTTTGTAAGTAATTATGGTTTATTGAGGTTTTTCATGGCAGCCATGTTGCATGGCAGGAACAATGAAAATATTATGCATAAGGAAGAAAATTTTTTCCGATGGGAAAAATAATGTATTGTTCCTGCCATGCAACATTCATGGCTGCTGTGCAAAACCTATCTATACTTAAATTATTGTAAACTTTAGGGTGATGTTGTTAATTAATTCTGTTACTTCTTTTTGTGGGCAAAAAAGATGTTCTTGAATTGAAGGTCAAGTCTTAAATGTGTAATACAGGAAAGGTAGAAAAAAATTAATGCTTAAGAAGGAATATTTTGGATCTAGAACTGAGATGTTAGCCACTTAAGGCAGTGACACTTGAAAAATTAAACTGTACTTGTTTTTAAGATGAATCAATTGTGAAGAGAAATTGGACCAAGTTTTTATTAATATCTACAAACACTGCTATGAAATAATTTTATGACATTGTCCAAGCATAGTACTGTTATTATCATAATGAAAAGGTGGTAGGTAATGGCTTGATGCAGAGTCAATCCATTTCAAATATACAAATTTTAAAAATGTTAGAGTGGACACGGCACAACAAAAGTCAATTCACTTTTAAAGCTATCATCTATTTTATTATATTCAGTTGACTGATTATTTGTAAATATTCATTTACTGATTTACTGTAAGTTAGACTTAACCAGGGCAATCTTGTTATATCAGGGTCTTCTGTTGACTTTGTTGCAGGTTTCTTGGTCAGACAACACCACAGAAACCATTCACAGGACATATGAAGAGATGTTTGACTTCCAGTGCAAGGTACTTAAGTATGATTAAATGCTTATGGACACCTGACAGCATAAACATTGAGACAATTGTACTTGATGAGCTAAAATCCTACATGCCAAGGGTCTTTTCATTTTAGAGATATCAACAAAGTTGAAATGCTAAATTGGCCACCGTAAGGATTACAAAAGCTGCTGTTTCGAGCATTAGCCCTTCATCAGAGCGATTTTAGTTAAGCTGACGTTTCGAGCATTAGCCCTTCATCAGAGCCATTTTAGGTTGACAACATAACCCTACTGATAAGGATATTTCAGCTTATTTTATGTTCATTTATCTGGAGAATTCCAGGTCAATTGTGGTGGAATTTCCAATCTTGTAGATGGATAGAATTAGTATTCATGGGGGAAAAGTAAAGCCAAGGCATTTAAAGACCTCAGTCATAAAAACAGAGATTTCGTTTACTGAGCCAGCCCTCTATTCCAGGTGCATTGTATTTTTAGTTCAGCTGGTTAAATATCTGTAAGGAATAACAGCTTATAGTCAACTTGCAGTTTCATGTTGTGGTCCAAATGATCTCAATGCTATGTCATTGATGTTTCCTAATTATCATAATGTGAAATAGTAATTAAAGAAAATGTATATTAAATTGATTTTCAAATGTTTGAACCAAGAAAAAAAAATTGAATCACACACTTACAACAAAATGACTGAAAAAATATTCAAAAAATCCCTGGGTGGGATTTTTTAAATATTTTTCCACTTTTCTGGGTCAAAGTTGGTAACGGGAACAATGGAGCCCTTGAAAGAAACTCAGCTTTGAGAGGGGGCAAAGTGTCTCAACAAACTTTGACCAGGGTAATGTCTGCAGATTGAAGTGGTGTTACCTTCAGCTGTCAAAAAAAGGGCATTATAGGTCACATTTTAAAGATAAACATTAACATATGCCCTTAAGACTTACAAATCTACTGGTCGCTGTTATTTTTCATTTATCTTTAAATATTGTCTAGTAAATTATTATGTGAAAGAAAATTGATATTTTACAAAATGCTGACCATAAGTTTACCCTCGAAACCCAAGAAATCAAATATTCTCGGTGGCAGAATCTGACCCTTGAAGAAATATATTTTTGAGGAATGTGTGTCTGCACTCTATTGTCTTTGCTTGAAATTTGAGATCATTTTACCAGCAGAAATACAGTAAAAGAGACATATTACTTTATTAACATGCATGATTATATTAAGGAATTTCTGAGTTGAAAAAGAAACTTTGAAACACAAACAAATTTGCATCACTGTTATCATTACATATGGCCTTTGTACTTTCTATTCATCTTATATTTGTATCACTGGAAAGTTTCACACATTTTACATCTTAACAGAAGCTCCATGAAAAGCTTTGTACCTTTTGAAATTTGGTTCTGGGGTAAGGAAAAACAATTGGAGTATTAGATCTGTTATTCAAAGGAACAATAATTATGCCCTAATTTCAATCACATCAGTAATCAAACAGCTACTTAATCTTCATTAATATGATTTGATATGCTCATCTTGGTTTGATTTATAAAACAGTTCCTAATATGTATTTCTGTTTTGGAATCTCAAGCTGCGCAAAATGTACCCAAATAAAGTTGATGCAAGTGGCAATCCTTGGAAGCTTCCTTTTTTACCTGGTACAAATTCTTTTTTTTATATAATTATTATTTTCAAAAGAGAGTGTTTATATTTCATTGTTTAAATTGTAGTGAATATATAAGTAGCAGGCATTTGGTTTCTGAAAACAATGTTTGCAATTCCACCAATGTGTTGGTGTTAAAATGCAAGAAGAGGATGTGTTAATGAGTCCCCTATGCTTTAATCACAAGAACAGGAATCGTGCAGTTATCAGAGCATTTGCCTACCTAACTGCTGTGATCCAGTTCAGTTCCCAAACCACATCATGGTAGGAATCAACCCTTATGAATTTTCACATTTCTTTTAGTTATTTTTGATTGAAACTTTCCATAGGAAGAATCAGAATGTTTAACAAGCCTGAACCTAAAGGAGAAAAATTGCCAATCCCTGATATTTCAGATTACACCAGGTATGTTCATGTAGTAATTATAACAACTAATCTAAGTGCCTCAACTGTGCCAGAAAAAGCCTAGCTCACCCACTAAAATCATTGTCAAATAGGTTGTGGTTATTCATTGTGGTTAATAACACTTAAAAGAGAAATGTGATAATTTTTTGTCTCATGATGTGTATGGTCATCTTACACTCCACATCCCACGAGACCACCTTGTGAAACAAATGATCACATTTATCTTTTGAGCATGAAAGTCATGTGCAAAAGGTTAACAGTAGATAACACAGAGGTTATACTTTTGTCATATACATAGAATGCAGACAAGGGGTTTTTGTTTCTATTTTGTTTATTTTTTTTGCAAGTTGTATAAGGGTTATTCTGAACTTATAGGAAACTGATTTTTGTCACCTTCAGGTTGTTTAGCAATCTTCCTGAGTTTGTGCGAGGTTGTGATCATGTGGTGAAATTTTTTCAAAGTGAAAAAAGAATCAGAAGAAAATCAGACAACAAAAAGAACAAGAGCATAGCAAAAACAGAAGAACAATCCAACTGTAAAGTCAAACAAAATGAGTTTGAATCACCCCATAGAATAGCTGAAGCTGTGAGGGAACAGTCACTTGGTAGAAAAGATAATGCCAAGAGTGCAGATGTCACAAGCACAAAAATAAAGAAAAAAACAAATAGCTTGTCTTCTGAGGAGAATGTTTCCAAGAACAACAAAACTTGCTCTGTGGGGAAAGAATCATTCGTTGACATTGATGAAAATGGAAATGAAGTGAAATCGACTCTTTGTGGTAAGTTGTGGAGGCCTGATTTCTTAATATTTGACTGTCATAAAAATATAACAGTATTGGAAAAAATCTCTTTGTCATTCATATATATACTTACTAGTACTAATTATGAGCTCTGGTCTTATTTAAAAAGTTAATCAATGTTCCTGTCTAAAATTATCATAATAGTTTTATAAAGGTAAAATAATGAGTTGTCATGCCCTGGTTTGATTGATGTTACTGTGGTTAATAATTTCAGAGACCTTTAAGGAATTGGAGGAAAGTGAAAAGTCTGTTTCCAGTGAACAACATTTCAAAAATGGACTTATTAAGATGGCACCAATGCAAACATTTTCACTGTTGCCTTCATCATCATCATCATCATTGTCGACATCAGGTATGGTGACAATTTTAATTTGCCTCCTTTCTGTTTAGAAAGTTAAATAACAATTATGCAATAAAAGATAATATAGTCTCATTTGATTCAATGCACTATGCCAGGGGAAATGCAATATATGATACAAGTAACCAAAATGATTGTTGCAGGTGAATTAAGTCACAAAAATTTAGACTCAGTCTAATTAATTGATTAATAATTTATTTAATCCTGAGATACTTTTTAGGCAATAGTCCACTCACTGAGATATGAAGCCACATTTTGGGACAGGAAAATTGAAAGGGGTTATTTCTCATGTATTAAGGAATGTAGGTAATTGGCTCTGATCTATTGAGAACTGTGACACCCAAGGGAGTGAGGGGTATGAGAGATAGCTTTATTAGGAAGTAAAATCATTGCAGCTTCCAGGCCGGCTGAAATACGACTTACTTTATGATGGGAATAAATTATCTCTTATCAAGTTATCTCTTATCTCAAATTATCTCTTATCAAGAGATCAAGTAAACTGTCAGGCTAACTTAATAGATTTAAGGGGTCAGCTGACTGTAGGGATACAGTTTATTTTAGTTCAAATTCATTGTCTTTACAGCTGATCCAGTAACAACAGGTTAGTGTATATACCACAATAGCGATCATGGTGTTTTCATTATTCTCTTTGTTTAGGATCTCTGTTGACATCCACACAGGTTTCTTTGCCATTAAAGCAGCCATTTCATACCACTCTTCAACCGAGTAACATGTTACACATGTTGAACACAAATGGTTATTCACTACCTCCATCCCTAACATCACTGCAAATAACTCTTCCATCCTCACCGATTGCCTCTTATCCTTCACCTTCTCCATCTCCAATCACTTCACCTGTCATGTCTCCTGCCAACTCCCCGTCACTTTCACATCGATCATGTTCTGGAAACATAAACTGGACCTTGCGACAACACAGCCAAGCAGTGAATGTTTGTGATTGGCTAAGGAATTTGAGACTGCACAAATACTCTGAAGTTTTCAAGGGAAAGACCTTTAATGAGGTGAGTTTCTGTTTTGTTTTGAAAAGTTCAAAGTATCTTATTACATTATTATATTTTTCCTTACAGACTTTTAAGAGGGGCCAAAGGTTTTATGCTTACTAACAAAAACATTGGTGTTTGAAGTAACACATTCAGTTTAGCTGACACTGTGTTCCTTTTGTAGATGTTGAAATTTTCTGATAAAGATTTTGAAAAACTTGGCCTAACGGCAGGAGCAAGGAGGAAGCTTCGCGTAAACCTGGAAGTTCTTCGGTATGTCTCATGTAAAAGTTTATTTTGTTAGTAACTGCGTTAAAACTGTGCTGGTTTAGGCAGCTGTACAGCCTTTGATCACTGAAAATTAGTTCTATGCTTAGTTTTTGCTTTTTTTTTTGTGCAACCTATGTCTTTGTTGTTCAGTGCTACAAGTTTCCCTTGTGTTACAACCATTATGTTGGGTTTATGAAGCAGCAAGTTGAACCCCAAAAATTTACATAATATACCACCATACAAGTGTATATATCACATTTGTATTTTAGTATGTGAAAATAAGATTTACACAGTGCCTTTTTTGATGGGTTGTTTCATGGCACAGGACAAGAGGTTGCTTCACATCAAATGGTTTAACAGTGGTAGACATGCTCCCCTCACCTTCAAGCTGTGTAGTCAACCCAGCTCAAAGTCACAGTTCTGACAGTGATTTCCTACGAAGTGTCAGTGAAAGTGACAGTGCCAGTGACTGTGGAAGTGACATATTGTCTGAACCAGGAACTCAGGTTTGTGAATTTTTTTTGTAGTTTGATTACAGGTGGCCTAGTTCTAGTATATGTTCATGATGAATAAAGGGGGAAAGTTTCTAAAGAAACTGTGGTGCTGTGTCACTAAGGGTAATAAGGTAATTTGGTTTGATTGACTCGGTTGATGATGTAAATTGGCCACCATAAAGAGTTTAAAAGCTGACTTTTTGAACATTAGTCCTTTGTCAGCAAATGAAGGAATTGTGGGTTGTGATATTCACAGCTTTTTTAAACTGAATAAAAGGGAAGTGTCTAGTTTGTTCTGTCAAATTTGAAGCGATGAAGTGAGTGCTTGAAAACTTTGGACATTAATTCCAGCAATTTTACTTTTCACCTCTTTTAAAATTTTAATCATTAACAAGGTTTCTTTCGTGTTGAGCTTTAAAAATTCTTTTTCAATCAATAGCCAACCAAAACAGCTCAGAAGTAATATCACACTATAGTTGGTAGAGTGAAAATTTTTGCTCCATACACAGCCTGGCAAACTTGTTTGGTGCAAAGGTATTGTTCCTTGCAGTGACTTAGTAAAATAAAATGTTGTTTCCTATTCTCTTAGATGTGTTCAAGTATTTATCCAAGGAGATTTCCAGTCTTAAATGGATGCCATGTGTCATGTTACAACTGTGGAAGTCTTGGTCATGTTGGTGGTCAATGCATGGCTCCAAACTTGGATAAAAGAATTCCCACAAGTTATGGTATGTTTTTCTACCTGAGTAACAGCCTAGGAATAAGCTTACGAGTTCTTTTGTAGTTTAACTCAGTCACATTCATACATTTGCTTCCATGAAGTCTTAATTCCTTAGATATTACTAATGTTACTATTGATTTCTGTTTTGCAGGTATCCATTCAAGGTATGATGCACCACTAGAGTGTTAATGACAGTTCAAACAAACATGGGCATTGCATTGATAGTTCTTACACTCAAACAAGAAATAAAGTTCATTACAGACATGGTCATCAAAGAGCCACATAACTGAGCCAGAACATGACTCGTGAAGATGTTATGTACATGTCATCTTCACTGCACTTGATATACACACTGTTATCTGTGAGAACATTTTCCATTAAATTTTGTAGCTAATTAAGTATTTGAATTATTTGGTGAAACCAAAATGGAGGAACTGCTGTAGGCAGAGGTTGTCATTTAGTGTATTAGAGAAGGAGCATAAACTTTTCTATTTAGCCATAAGAACTGGAGAAAAAGAAGGAAGAGTGTATGGCTTTTACTTTATTGCCTTGCACGGGTAGTGACAGAAGTTGCTCCCACTAAATAAGCTAAGATGGCCACTGTATAATTAGTCAATTTAGGCTGATGGTGCAGCAGTGAAGCCAAGAAAAAAAGATAAAGACTAGGGAAAACCGAGAAACAAACCGGGACTGTCCGGTTAAAGAAACTAGTTTTACACCTCTCTAACTACTGTCAAGTTTCTGTGAACTACAACTTGATATTTAGGACATAACTTTTTAATGCAATTGTAGTGGTATTTCCTCTTACTTAAAACTTAAAGTAAGAGGAAGGACCACTGCAATTGCATTAAACAGTTAGGTCATATTGGTACTAGATGAAACAGATCAAAAGAGAAGTACTAATTTATTTTTCAAAGGAGAATTATTAACAACTGTTGCTCTGCAAGTGATGTAAATGGAGATTTCAAAAAATTAAAATTAATTTTAAGTTCAAGTTGATCAAAAGTTATTTTCCTGTGCTAGAAAGTTGTCACAATTATCGCCATCTAGGATTAGTTTTTGGATATTGTAAGGGGTAGAGATATGAATTATTTTTCAGCTCTGTTAGTGCCGTGCAAAGAAAAGGTCTAACAGAAGTACTACTTAACTATTGTACTAATACTTAAGTACAAGATAGGAATCTATTGTCTCAGTATCAAAAATTAATGTATTTTCTGGACATTTGAAAAAAGTAATATATTTTCTATCAAATACTTGTATTTTCTATCAAATACTTGTGTTCTCTGTTTGAATGCACCATACACTCTTAAAAGACTATTGTTATCTCAATTCCCGTGACACACAACATTCCACAGAAACAAATGACACTTGCAGAAACAAAGTTAGGTGAGAGTGTATGGTGCAAAGAAGAGGTCTTACAGAGGTACTTACTCCTACAAGAGATAATCTTATTAGTCTAATAGTTATGTATAACATAGGAATCTAGTCTCAGTATTGCAAATTATAATATTTTCTGGACATTTGAAGAAAGTGATATATTTTCCAACGATTATGTTTGTGCTTTGTTTGTTCTCTGCGTGAATGTACCATACACATTCACTTAACAGGGTTTATATCAAATTAATTTGATGGCCTGCTCCCAGTTGGCTTGTTAGCTCAATTGGTAGAGCGCTCCACTAGTATCGCAGAGGTCAGTGGTTCGAATCCTGTTCAGGCCTGAATTTTTTCAGGTCTGATTTTTACTATTGCTTCAATAGTAGACCATTGTCTCAATTTATTCCTATGTGACTCAAAACATTCCACAGAAACAGTTTGAACCTCAAAAGGAATCATCCATACCAACACGAAAAACCTCTTCACTTAACCCAGTACACCCTAAATCAGTATCCATTTTCTCCACTCCTTTACATACTCTTCTTTTGGTGCTGACAAGGAGAATTTATTGAACAATCAAAGCTTATTAGGTTGGTGATCATTTCCATTATTTTCAGGACCACAATGAATGACTCAGTACTATTACTGTCAAGAGAAATTAGATCCTGGTCACTTGGGGTATAAAAGGCTTACAACCCAATAAAGCCATAAACAAATTCCAGTGGTCAGGTTCGGTCACACCATTGTTTTATTTCTTGAAAATGCTATATAAAAAGGAATTGAACCTTATGTAGAATGCTACGAAAGACTGAATTTGTGCCCAGCTTTTTACACAACTCTGCATTCATTGCACTACTATCAGTCATTGTCTTTGCTTGAGAATCCCTTTTACTTTGTGATGGTGTTGAGGAATAGTTGCTCTACTGTATTTTTTTTTTCTTTTTGGCATTGCTGTCTTCTTTCACAACTGGCTATCCACTGCTGGTGGTCACAGTTCTAACTCAAAATATTTATTGACGTGGTCAAGAGCACCAATTCTTCAAAACAGATTACCATCTGTATGGACTGGAGAACCAAACAACAAGCGCCAGGATGCTGGGAAATTGAAGTCACCTGCAAATATAATTTATGTTCTAATTTTTTTGTCGTCCATATTTACCAACAACTCATGTAAACATCTCTGTATTGCTTTAACCATCTCAGTTCTGAATGCTAGCTACAAAGTCATTTGTTACAACACATCACTCAGACTTATGCACATTGCAATGTTTACAAAACTTTCAGACCAGTTTGAATTTCATTTCTTTCAATTACCGGTAAGTACAACAATGAAATGTGCTCAACCATTCGTATGAAAATGAGTTTAATTTGTACATAAATGAAAATGTATCATTATATGAAAGGATGAGCACCAAGACTTGCTTTGAAAAAGAGGCTAAACGTAATTCAGAAATGGGCTACTAACAGCGATGTGACATCTCCGACAGGATTCAGGATTACCTGAGAATTTTACAGATGCAACAAGTGCATGCACATGTTGTATGTTGAGCTTACCAGAGGTGACAGTCTATGATAGAGCATAAAATATAAAATTATATCTCCACTACTCACTTGGTTTTCCTAGAATCCAGTCTTCAACCTGAAAAAGAGTACACAGTAAGCTTCAGTAAGCCACTATTAACCTGCAGGTGTGTACCAGATATCCAAAGTTAACAATTTTTATGAATGCCCCGGTCATTAGAAGATTGGATAACATTAATCATGTGGATAGATCATTAACAGCTGGAGGGATGTTTACCCAAAAGATTTTGAAAACTTCAGAATTGATCTCTTACCTTTTCTTTAGGAACAATCTTGAGCCAGGCATTAAGGTAAAGAAAGAGATTCACTGCATCTGATATATTATCCCCCTCCGAACAAAATGTTAACAACACAGTCAGAGGGATGTCATCTCTGCAACTAAAAAAAATCGACTTGACAACAGTGCATTGCCTTTTTTTTCTTTGTCACACAGTTGAAATGCACTTCAATTAGGAAAATGAATTGATCACTTTGATCACCAAGGTAAAAGAAGATGTTTTATCTCATAGCATGTAACTAAACTGAAATTTTTTACAATTTTCAAACTGTAAGATGAACTGTTCGGGTGAAAAAAAATTACCAAGCTTCATAAAGCTTCTTTGTGAATCCTCCTCCAGGGAAAAAGAAAGCTTTGTTTTCATCTGACAATTCTGGAAAAGAAAGAGAGAAACTCATGAAATATCACTGAGATAACTATTCTAAATACTTCCATTAATCAATGCTCATATGATGACACATTTTAAGATTAAGAAGTCTAAAATAGGTTGATATGAATTCCATATTTGTGGTAACCAAGGTGACACCTTGCTACTTAAAGTGTTCAGTGTAGGGATGTACATGTATCCTGTATATCCCTTCCACACCCAAGATCTCATCAGCAATTCTCCTTACTGTCTGCCCTTCAGTTCTTATGATGTTGGTTTGGAGAATTTGGTACTGGATCAACCAAATATCTCCTAATTGATATTTTTCTTTATTCTCATCACTTGTCTGCTTGATATTGTATTGATATTGTAAGGAGAAATTCTGTCTTGGTCACTCGTGAGAATTAATGGAATATGATGTTGCAGGTCTCACTCAGGGCTTGACACTAACTTTTTAACTTACTAGCCGCGTGGCTAGTGACAACGTAGATGTTACAATAATATCAGTTTGTTTACTAGCCAAACTGGCTAGTAAACAAACTGATATTATTGCCCAAAATTGAATTTCTATCAGTCTGTGGCTTGTTGGCTACCATTGGTGTCAAGCCCTGTCACTGTCCTCTTAGTTAACATGATGTAAATTCTGCAGTCAACAACAAGTAAAATTTGTCATGATGGGTGTCCCTTTCACAGGGTTGAGTTAATTTTAAACTTTAGGTTGAATTATTCAGCCACAGAAGGTGCAAACACCCCTACCCCGACCCCTCTCTCATACCTTGATGAGTAATTGAGCAAAAATTTAGCAGACTTTAAAAAATCTTCCAAAATGTCTTTTTGCCATATGTTTGTATGGGAAATTGCAGCAGGGGCATCTCAATGCAAATTAACCTAAATCCAATGTAAACATCAATAAGATACTCAAATGTAGCACCCACCTTCAGTATTAAGATAGGGAAACTTTGGCCTCTTTTCCAATGACTTCCAGGACAATCCATCAAATACCGGAAGGAGGTTTTTTACTGCAGGTGTAACAAGGTATCTCAATGGAGAACTGAAAAAAAATCAGTGGACCAATTCTAGCTTTCTACTTTCCTGGCTATCTTGAAATCTTTCTTAATCACTTATTTTAGCTTCAAATAATGATTGTTATTTACCTTTTCTCAAATTTATCAAAAACAGGGAGCTCTGAGTATTGGCACAACAACCCTTTTCTTAAGTTCACCCAATGCAAGTGGTGGTTGAAAAATTGGTGCTTTCTCATTCAGCTTACTGGAAAATCTCTCAGTTAAGTGTTCAGTTACGTAAGCCCATATTGAATTAATTTTATTTTTCTTCACATGAGCCATCTTCATCATTTAGTCACAATGAACAGACAACAATGACCATATGTTTATCAATTGAAAAATATGAATATTATTAGGGAAATACTGCACTAGTAAGTGTAGGTATCTTGTGACACATTTAGAGGAAACATTCCCGAATTTCATTCTTTTTACACACTCCAAAATGATTGATATACATTGCACATGCAAACCTAAACCGTATGGTAAAACACCAACTAATTCATTTTGCAGACAAAAGAAGTCTGACTGGTGGGCCTTACCCTTCAATCTGTGAGTCAACTCTTTCTGTGGCACTGATACTGGAAACAAGAATAACTTGTTTAAAGTGGCAACTTTTAATCCATGAGACAAGCTTTCTGCAGTATTCAGTTTGAGGGCCCTGAAATAAATGGAAATATCTACAGTTACTCATGGTATACAATGAATTTGCATTCTATGAGGTGAAACACTAGTTTTTTGAAAGGGCTTAAGTTTGTCTATAGATTAATGACCAGATTCCTTAATGAGGAATAACCAGCCAACTAAAATTGTCTCACTCCTAACTTGGTTCTATGGCTTGGTTGGTAATAACACCCCTGAGATATCTTCAAGGGATGAATTCTAAGCTCACCAAATACATGTTTAATTCTAGACATTGTCTTCACACTGAACCATTAAATAAATAAATCAAAACAAATTTTCGTCATTGGCATCTCAAAATTTCACCTTTTCATTTTGTTTGCTGAATTAGAAATTATTCATAATACACATTACTGTATTTTTTGTGTCCCTTAAAATGATGTTTTGTAAGCACATCAAACATTTGGTAACAATTCAAGAAAAGATAAACACTGTTTCTAATTACATAATACCCAAATATTTACCTTAACTAATGGAGCTCTCTGTTGAACTACAATAAACTTCAGATCATCATTTTTGTACACTGCCAAAGAAACAAAACATATTTCAAATACATCCCAAGCACCTTATCTAACGTTTATGAGCGAAAAATAGCAAATTCTTGCACAAGCAAACATGTAAACTGGTAATAAAAATTTCTTTTAAATTTAACACAAAGTACTCAAAAACTAATTTACAAAGATTGTCCAGCACATAGAAAGGAGAATAAATCAAAAAGATTCCTGGATGTGAACAGTAAAGAAAATTCAAACCTTCAACACTGACATTCAGTTTTCCTGAGGCTTCTGTTGACAAAGTGAAGGCATCATTTCCTACCACTGGTAAGACACATGAATCATACAGATATCCAATGGAGGAACCATCTGGACAAACAGCAGAAACTACCAGATCTACTGCTAACTGGCCCACATTTCCTATTGAAACCGCTGGCTTTGAGAACCAGACAGAAAAATGGGTTAAGAAAGATCGTATTTGGTATTTGTGTGTAGCTATATCAAACCTCGTATAAACTTGCATCCTCGTACTTTCGTTGCAGAACTTGTTCCACATTTAGCATCCTAGCTCTACAGAATGTCTTTGAAAATATTTTTACACCGTAAGTTAATTGTATACCTCAGCAGCCTGTTGTAATACAGAAATGTGGACAGAAATGTGTTTGAAAAGTTGTTTAGGGTCTTTCTTGATGCAGAAATTGATCAGGCACTCACCAAAATTAAGGTAAAATCTTCCCAGTTTCCGTCAGCATTATTCTCCCGTGGAATAAACATATTATCGTAACTTCAGTTCAAATGAACAAGCAGGTTTCAAACGCTACACGTGAGTTAATCAACGTTTTGCCGACTCATTCTAAGGAAAATTATGATCTACTGATCAGACTGATCAAGCCTTCCGTTTGTGAGAAGAAGCCTGGGCTCAGTAAAAGCGTGGTTACCAAGATATTTCAACATGGCGGATTTTTAGTGCTACTTAGCGTTTTTCAAACTCTTACAAGTTTTGTCTGTTTAAAATGGCAGAATTCCCTGACTTGGGAAAGCAGTGTGATGTTGAGATTTGTAAGCAACTTGGTAAGTTATTTCTCTGAACTGCGAGTGTACTTTCCTCTTTAACAAGCTAATTTTCCAAAGCGAGTAAAATTTTTATATATATACATTAAAAAAAAATAAAATATATATATATATATATATTTAGTATAATTTCAGAGCTGAGCAAAGAGTATCCAGCAATCTGATTGGTCGAGCAGTTCCTTATGTGACGCTATATAAACCGCTTCACGATCACGCGATTTATATAAAATGTTAAATTAAAATGTTACGAAAATGTTATGATTTTAGAAATTTCTCTGTTGTTCAGCTCTGAAATTATACTAAATAATACTCGTCTGGGGATTATTCGACAATATTCACTGAACCTGATGCGAATAATTGTTAAATATATATATATATATATACATATAACTAACTGCAGACAGAACTGTTTCGGCCTTCTGGGCCTCATCAGTGCAGTGCTGATGCTAGAATGGAGGAGAACCAAGACGGTCACCCCAAGCGACCCAACCTTTGTGGTATCGTTTAAGCCATGCCAGAGTGCTCAAACTAGAGTAAACTAGCGAAGTGGTGTGGCACACGAGGACGGACAACTTTGAGCGAAGGAAGACATATACTCAATAAAAAGTCTAAAAAGTTTAATAAAAAACGTTTCGGTCCGAGACCTTCATCAGTTGTAATACAATGACCTAAAAATTCCTTAAATAGATTTATATAGGGCGTGATGACACATATAAACAAACACAGTAATTACAAAACGAAAAATTATCACTATAAAACGAAATAGAAAAATTGTCGAATCCACTGAAAATGTAAAGGAACCAGCGTTGACTTGAAAGGCGAGAATTGTACTAAAATTCCCAATTAACGCTGAGACTGGGACCTTTGATGCCCGCCCAATTTGAAAAAATTCTCCGCATTAATTATAGTTTATTCTTTTTTTGGAGTGAAATTCCTGGCGCTTATTCAAGCCGAAGGGTGCCAGAGAGAACAGCTGTGCGCTCCAATATGCTTCTTTGGTAATTAGAAGTTTCTCGATGTTACCTGAATTGTTTACTGTTGCCTGCACTTGATCAATGCATTGGAATGAGAAATCGCTTAAATCATGTGGTGTTTTGTTAAAATGTACCGCTACTTCACAGGTCTTTTTCTTAGTGACCATAGCAGACTTGTGGTTGCGAAATCTAACCCTAAAGTCATTTGTTGTGGANCATTTCTTGCACGAAGCCAAATAAATTATGTTCTTAGAATCACAGGAAAGTTTCGATCGTATCTTGTAACTTTTGCCTGTTTGAAAACTTAGAAAGGAATTAGATTCAACCAAGAAGTTGCGACAAAGATCGCATCTTGTTCTATTACATTTAAAACATCCCTTGACCTCGGCAACCCCTTCGCTTTCAGTGTTAGGGCCATAACGGGATGGCGCCAACAATTCTTTAAGGTTTTTAGATCTGCGGAAGGATGCTATGATGGAATTTGAAGGAAAAAGCTCTTTTAACTTGGGATTGGATTCCAAAATACCCAGATGTTTTTTAATGATGCGACTTACATCAGGTAAATTTGGATTAAATGTGGTCACAAATGGGAATAATTTCCTCTTAGATCTGGCCTGAGTCCTAAGTAGATCACTTCTAGGTATGGTAGAGGCCTTACGAAAGTGGTCGTCCACTAATTTGGAAGGGTAACCCTGAGTAACCAGATAACCCTTGTATTGGGTTATTCTCTTGACAAGAAAAGCTTGTTCGGACCAATTTCTTTCTTTCGAGAAAGAGGAATACGAGGAATACGAGGAATACGAAGATAAAATGTTCGGCCAGCTTCAAAACCAATTGCATTATAAATCCTTGCAGGAGGATCCTACTATTAGACATTTGACTTTAGTTGAGAGCTGGTGTGACAAATGGGTCACAAAAGGGGAAATTTCAAACCAAATAGCTAATTGGATAATTAACAAGGAAGCAAAACCAGGGGTTGCCTTCAGAAATGTCAAAAACCCATAAGGTAGGGAATCCACTTAGGCTCATCACGTCTTGCTGCGGTACGGCAATAGAAAATCTCTCAGCCTTCACTGAATTTTACCTGCAACCATTGGCTCGTAAATTACCATTGTTCATTAGACACCACCGATCTGCTCAACAGGATTGAGGAACTTAATTGGAATGGCCCTTTCCCCGAAGGCACTCTATTGGTTTCATGGGATGTTGTCTCAATGTTTCCTAACATTGATAATCAACTCGGTCTTACCACAGTGAAGAGGGCACTGAATGCCAGAGAAAATAAGCTTCCATCCACTAATTGCACTTTAGAAGGGGTTAAAATTTGTTTGAAGAGCAATCATTCGGTTTTCAGAGAAAACTTCTTTCTACAGGTTCATGGCACAGCCATGGGCTCTAAGAACGCCTGCAGTTATGCAGATCTTGCCATGGGTGAAATAGATTTTCAGGCCAAGTTCTCTGGCCACATAAAGCCAGCTTTGTGGTGGCGATACCGTGATGATGTTTTTGATCTCTGGCAACAAGGCCTTCCGGCACTGCATGAGTTTACTGAATTTATAAACTCTTCATACCCCACTATAAAATTTGAATTAGTTTTTTCCGAATGAGAGCTCCATGTGCTAGATTTAACTCTACATCTTATCGAGGGTTTTATTAGGACAGACGTTTACTCAAAGCCAACTGATAGTCACCTGTATCTCCCACCATCAAGTGCTCATCCTAAACACGTTTTCAAAGC